CGGAAGGCCTCTTCGAGTTGTTTCTCCAACTGAACAAGTTGTTGTTTCTTTTCTTTTGTAGTCCTTAATCGATCTCGTTCTTCTTGCCATTTCTTAGTGAGGAGATCACTTTGTTTTTGTTCTTCCTCAATTTTCTTTTCAAGTTTCTTTCTTCGTTCCATACTGGCTGGATCTTGTTCATTTCTCAAAGATTCTAACTCGATACGAGAAATGATGATTGAACGATCAATCTTTTCTAAATGTTCTGGTTTGGATTCTTGTTGCAATCGAATGGATGCTGCTGCTTCATCGATTAAATCGAGTGCCTTATCTGGAAGAAATCGATCAGAGATGTATCGATCGGATTGAACCACGGCACTCACAATGGCATTGTCACTAATTCGAACACCATGATGAGCCTCGAGATTTGCTTTTCTGCCTCTAAGCATGGCAATGGAATCAATCACAGAAGGTTCATTCAAAAGTACTTGTTCGAAACGACGAGCGAGTGCCTTGTCTTTTTCAATATGAACTCTGTATTCATCCAAAGTGGTAGCACCAATACAGTGCAACTCTCCTCTTGCAAGAGCAGGTTTTAACATGTTCGACAAGTCCACTGAACCTTGTGCATTTCCAGCATTCACAATCATGTGAATTTCATCAATAAATAAAATAATTTCACCTTCATATTCTCGAATGTCTTTGAGAATGGCTTGAACTCTTTCTTCGAATTCACCTCTAAATTTTGAACCAGCAATAACTGCTGCCAAGTCAAGTGCAATCAATCTCTTTTTCTTAATGGAATCTGGAACTTCTCCTTTCACAATTCTTTGAGCTAGTCCTTCAACGACGGCTGTCTTACCAACACCAGGTAAACCAATGATCACTGGATTGTTCTTTGTTTGACGTGACAACACCTGAATGGTTCTTCGAATGACATCATCACGTCCAATGATTGGATACAATTTTCCTTTCCGAGCTTCTTCAGTCAGATCAATTCCGAACTTTTTCAATGCTTCTCCCTTTTCAAAGGTAGTTTCCCATGGCATCTTTCCACCCATTCCACCACTGCCACCAAAGTTTGGATTCATATTGGTGTGATAGGATCTCTTCATGACTACTAGTCCGCCATCAGAGTTGTGGTGGAGACTCAGTGGTGATTGTAGGTGTGATGCATTCCGATTAAACTGCAAATTCAAACTCGTAGGACAGTTGTTATTTACATGATGTTGTTCGGAAAATCGAAAAGACTTGAATCCTCTAATCTGATAATTTTGTATTTGCAAATTGGATGCAATCTTGGCATTGGATCGGATGTGAGTCGAAACGTTTTTAGTCAAATTGCTCTGCAGCAACAACGACGAAGACGACGAAAAGATGTGTGAAGTGTGTTTGAGCATTTTTTTGTGTTGTGAAAGATTTGACTTTTTTGATTGGAGTTTTTATTGAAAGGTTCATGAATAGGGTCATGGTGGTTTGGATTGAGCGACAAGAAAGGAAAGCTCGGAATTGATGAATTCCGAACCTATTTTAAGATGTGTGAAAAGAATATTAGTTCTGTCATTCAAGTGATCAATGAATCATAAAGTGAGTGACGGAATGCACCAGGAAAGAGCTCTTGTGGCTTCTCTCGTAGTCGCAATTGATGACACTCTGAAAAAAATGTCATCTCATCATTACAACAAAAACGAGCAACTGATCAGCAAAAAGAACGATGGATTTTTTGCTCTGATTCTTTTTTATACGATGAACGTGTTCGAAGTGTTCCGAAAGATATTTTCCACACTCTCCGAATTTACTAACACTTATCATGGACATGAAGATTTGAATCATCATGAAAACGAAGTGAAAGAAGAATAGACGAACGGCATGATCATTATTTCATTAAAAGTTGTTAAAAATTAATTTTAATGTGAAATATAATTATGTGAATCTCAAATAATATTATTGTTGAGACAACCTGTGAATTGGCTAGGTTGTATATTTCGGTTCGATGATTCTAATTTAATACTTACCTTTGGATAACTATATCATTATTAGAGTGCTTTTTCTCGAATGATTCAATCGAGGAGGATCAAATCCTAAAATAGATAATTTGCATTCAAAGCGAAAGTACTAATCACATGAAGAAGGTTTCTAAATGAATTGAACTCTGGATAATGTGAAAAATGAGAGATTTTCAATTTTTGTGATGGAGCTAATCTCGGAATACTCAGATTCCGAACACCTTCTAAAAATAAACTTCACTCTTACAAAAAAAAATGACCAAAGCAGACGTGAGACCAGATTCGAATTTGTCAGGACTGGAGCATCCCACAACCTCGACCTCAAAGAAGGAAAAGAAGAGAAAACCCTATGTCAAGAGAGCATGCTTGAGTTGTCATTCAGCACATGTAGCTTGTGATTCAGAAAGACCCTGTCGAAGATGGTAAGTACTCTAGTGTTCAACGAACAAAATTCATGGATGACACCACACATTCGTTAATATTGTATTTAATTTTTTTTTATTTGAATTTAAAATATTTAATATTCGATTTGTGTGTTACTACTGTTATTTGATTTTGTTTGAAAATCTATATGTACAAACAGCAAGAAGAAGGGAATTCCATGTGTCGATTACATACCCTCCAAGAAATCTAAATCCAACAAGACTTCAACCTCTGATGACGACGAGGCTGAACAGGTGCAAACACTACTAACGGACAACAACAGCCAATCAGAACCTTCAAACAGCAACGTCGTAGGAGATCATCCAACAACATTACAACATGATACATCATCGACAACAACAACAACCAACACCACTATCCACAACACTACACATAATCCTTCTCATCTCTCTTCATCATCACCCGAAAAGTCACCCAACAGAAAAAGGAAAAAGAAGGAAAGTTGTGGTGGTGTTCTGCGAGTGGAGACACCCTCTTCCAACCATTTTCTCATATCATCATCAGATCAAGAGGACGAACCTCAAACATCTTCTTGCATTTCTAATCAATCATCTTCCAACAAGTACGATAGCACTCTTACAGCTTCCAAATCAAGTTTGGTTCAACATGCCTTGTCCTTATCGGAAAAGCAAAATCAAAAGAAAGAAGTGAAAACACTCCCTCTCGTGGTGGAAAAACCAAAATCCTCAAACACCTTAATTATTGAGGATGATATTGAGAATCCATTAATGGCAACATCTCCAGTCAGTGCTGTGGATGTTTTATCAATGATTGATGGATTTGCAACCTCCCCGACCACCACCAGCACTGCTGCCACAATACCTATTACGATCTCTCAAAATTCTGTGAATACAACAACCACTCTCCTCAATAATACAGGAGGAGTCTCCACCACCACCACCACCACCACTACAGACACGAACACCACAACCAACAATTCTGTGAATACAACCACCACGAGTGGCAACATCAGTGAAACAACGACCAAACCAACAAGTGTGATTTATCCATACTTTTACAATCCGTGGTGGTATATGGCTCAACTTCAACAAAATCAAACTTCAGGTGGAACAACTAATGCTCAACAACAGCCTCAACAACAACAACTCATGGGCATTCCACCATATCCTGTAATTTTTGCTCCAATTCCTGCCACTCAACTCGGTCAACAACCATTTGTTTATAATCCCAATTCTTCTTCCTCCTCACTTCCAACCACAAGTCAATTAACACCTACTTCACCCATGCAAACAGACTCTGCTCCTTCTCCTTCCACAGCATTTCCAATGTTTGCCGCAGATCCCTATCATTTATATGGTGCATCATTTGCATTTGTTCCAAAGCCAATTACCATGTTAGAAAATACTGATGACGGTTTTATCGACCTTCAAGTCCCAAGTGCTTCACAACCTCTTTTTCTAGTGCATCCAAGTTTGAAGACTTGGATGTGAATAGCGATGGAATTGTTGAAGAGTCAGTAGCAGGTATTTTGCCGCAATCTGAAGACACAAACAAACATGTGACAGCTATTAATGACACGCATGCAACAACCACCGACAACTTGGCAATTTTTGACGACATTGATTACTTTGAGAGCGATACGAGCAGAAATAACGGCAGCAATTCAGATCTTTCTGTTTTCACATGGCAAGACAGTCCCTCTCTTGAGAAGAAGAAGCTAACAAGACCTGCCAGTAACAGAGCAATTTCGTCTGATGATGAGATTATTGATTTAATCACATCAGAAGCATCTTTACTGCACGAAAGAGCAAAGGAGCAGCAGAATTCGAATCGCCAAAACGGAAATGTTGCCAGCAACAGCATTTCATCCTCGAGTTCAGACAACCAATCATCCTTAACAACACCAGAGGAGATTAATTTTGTCATCAGTCAAGCACCAGATAATATGTTAATGAAACAAAAGTTGGGAGACATTATCAAACAGATTTGGCAAACACAAGAAAAATCAAAGCAAGGAGATTAATGAGTTGAAGCAACTTGTTAGCGAATTGAAGAGAATGATTATTTCGTAAAAGAAGACCTTTTAGCCCTAATGGAATGATATCGTTCAATATAAATATGGCCAGTATGTTAAAGTAAAGATTAATTTTGTTACTATTTCGAGCTATTAAAATTTAAGTTGTTATGGTTTCATACATAGTCTAAGAAAAAACCAACTTCATGAGTTATGTCTTTTCGAGTGTCAGATTTTTAACATGCAAGAATCGATCATTTACCAAACTGAAGCTAATCTGGATGGATCAAAACCTCTTGCACGAGACACTCCATCTTCCGAGATTGAAGCATTTATTAGTGAAATTCACTCATGCTCTCCACAACTGCCGAAAATTACAATTTTGCATTCACCCAATGCTTGGAATTTTTACTTGGGGTGTCTCGAATATGAAATTTCTTTCTTATTTCCTTCAATTTTCACTCAATTATTAGAGGTCAATGAAGTCTATAATGAACCTTCGACAATTATTTCGAAAGCAAATTGGAATGTTCAAAAGAGTATTCTTAACCAGTACACATAAAAGTTCATTAACAAGATTCATCATTGGTTCGTCATGTACCACGATTACCCATCAACAAGAAAAGAAATTGATAGCATGCGAATGAATCTCATACAATTGTGTTCATGTAAAAAAAGAGTTCCTGAAATGATTGGAATACTTTCTGATAAAATATCAAATTTTGAAGGTTTTGGAATTGAGAAAGAGACAACTTGAAATTTTTGTTGAATTTAAGCCATTAGAGACTTGTGAAATTGGTAGACGAACCAAAGCTCTATTGGAGAAATTGGAAAAGCTCGCACCCAATAATTTTTATGGCTAGTTCTGATTCTAATGCTATTGTGAATTGCATCTCTCAATTGGCTATTTGCTCAAAAGAAATGGAAAATGAATTACTGAAATTGGAAAACATGAGTGCCAAGGTGTTACAGTCCCAAGAGTGGTATTCAGATGAAATTATTGAAATCTTTCAAGGTTTCGAAATGAAAGAAGAAGAACTCTATTATTTTGACGAATATGACACTAAGGATCAATAATTTCATTCTGACAACGATTTAGATGAAAATAACGATCCATTGAGTGAGGAAGAGTCGAGTGATGAAGAATATGAAAAAACAAAAGTTGTTGAAACTTGAGAAATAACATGCAACGACAATGAAACGAATAGAGCTGAAATTGAGCAGCACAAGTAGCTTCAAGACTTTCTGGAGTCTAAAGATCTTTCTTTTCGAGACATATATATAGCTCCACAAAAATGCACACCTTCTTCTTCGTTTTAATAAATGAATCGGTTCGTTCTTCATTTTCAAATCTTCATTTTTCAAAATGAACCTCTTTAGGAATTTTATAAAGAAGTTGGACGGCAATTTTATTGGATATCGAAACAACTCAAAAAAAATGTCTCAACCTTGTGCTGTTAGTTTTGAAACGATCGATCAATACTTTGCGAGAAGAAACCAACTCTTTGATGAGTTCAAGCAAAGAAGAAGAAATGAATTGGGTGATAAGATTGGAAAAGATATTACCATTACTTTGCCCGATAACTCTACCAAGCCAGGAAAGGCTTATGAAACCACTCCTCATGATATTGCCATGTCCATTTCGGCTGGTTTGGCTGCTAACGTGGTGGTTGCGAAAGTGAATGGCACTCTTTGGGATATGGGAAGACCACTTGAAGGAGATTGTACTTTGGAATTATTAAAGTGGGATGCTCCTGAAGCAAAGGAAGTCTTTTGGCACTCCTCTTCTCACGTTATGGGTGAAGCCTTGGAGGATGTCTTCAAGTGCTACCTCTGTAAAGGACCACCATTGGAAGACGGAGGATTCTACTATGAGGCTTATATGGGTGATAAGTAAGTAATATCTGTTTTGATTTTATGGATGTATACTTGTTTTTTCGTGATGAATTTAATGTTTATTTAAATATGACATGGATAATTATCTCCTATTTATGATTGTATTTTATATCATCGCGCTGAATACTCCAACATAATATTGTCTCCTATGGGTGATATTCACATGATTTTCAAATTTATTTACAAATTTTACCAATCGATTGAATAATATTATTGTTTTCATGATGATGTAAATAACATGACATTTCAACTTTCAGGGTCGTGTCCGAAAGCGACTATGACAAAGTGAAGGAAGCAGTCACTAAGATTGTGAACGAAAAGCAACCCTTTGAAAGACTTCTCGTCACTAAAGAAGAGGCCCTTCAATTGTTTGCTGACAACAAATTCAAGGTCGAAATTCTCTCTGAAAAGGTAAAGGATGGAGATTATTGCTCTGTTTATCGTTGTGGTAGATTGATAGATCCTTGCAAGGGCCCTCACCTTCTTCACACTGGAAAAGTCACCACTTTTGAGGTCACTAAAAACTCATCATCATACTGGAGAGCTGATGCTTCCAAAGAAACTTTACAACGTGTGTATGCCATGTCATTCCCTGATAAGAAACTTCACAAGGAATGGCAAACTTTGATGGAAGAGGCTAAGCGTCGTGACCATCGTAACATTGGTAAGGAGCAAGAGTTGTGGTTCTTCCACCCTTATGCTCCTGGTATGGTCTTTTTCTTACCTCATGGCCAACGTTTATTCAACACTATCCAAAGTATGATGAGAAATGAATACTGGAATCGTGGTTATTCTGAAGTCCAAACTCCAAATGTTTTCCACAGTGATTTATGGAAAACTTCTGGTCACTGGGACAAGTATGCTGAAAATATGTTTGTTTTAGAAATTGATAAGGCTCAACATAGCTTAAAGCCTATGAACTGTCCTAGCCACTGCTTGATGTTTAAACACCGAAATAGATCATACAGAGAATTACCAATTCGTTTTGCTGACTTTGGTGTTTTGCACCGTAATGAACTGAAGGGAGCTTTGACTGGTATGACTCGTTTAAGAAAATTCCAACAAGATGATGCTCACATTTTCTGCAGACCAGATCAAATCAAACAAGAAATCATGTCTTGTTTAGGTATGATGCAAGATATTTACAAGATTTTCGGTTTTGGTTTCAAACTTTTCCTCTCTACTAGACCAGAGAAATATCTTGGAGAAATTGAACAATGGAATGAAGCTGAAAGACAATTGGAGGAAGCATTGAACGAATTTGGCCATCCATGGCAAAAGAATGAAGGAGACGGTGCTTTCTATGGTCCAAAGATTGACATTTTGATTTCTGACGCTTTGAAGAGAGAGCATCAATGCGCTACTGTTCAATTGGACTTCCAATTGCCAATTCGTTTCGACTTGACCTATGCTGCTGAAGATAAGACTGAGACTAGACCAGTCATTGTGCACAGAGCTATCTTTGGTTCTTTAGAAAGATTTTTGGCTATTGCTACTGAACATTTTGGCGGAAAATGGCCATTCTGGCTTTCCCCAAGACAAGCTATTGTTGTGCCTGTTTCTAAGAAGTGTAATGAATATGCCGAAAAGGTACATAAGATTCTCCATGATGCTCGCTTCTATGTTGACGTTGACTTGAGTGACAATAGAATTGACAAGAAGATTAGAAATGCTCAGCTCGCTCAATATAATTATATTTTGGTCGTCGGACCAAAGGAAATGGAAACTGATTCTGTAAACATCAGAATCAGAGACAGTGATAAGGAGCTTGGTGTCAAGACTATCACTGAAGTTCTTGAAGAATTCGCCACCAACAAGAAGGAATTCAAATAAATATTTTGCACTCGCAACTCTAAATTGTTTTGCATAAAACGTGCCTTAATTTTAAAAAGGAACGTGAGTTAGGGGAACCTTTCGATAATAAATATTATGAGAACCTCTTTTTATGTGAAGATCAGTGACAATCCAAAACAAAATCTTGTACATTTTGAAGGACAGTGCTCCTACAAGCTTGGCTGTCTTTAAGCTAAAGAATGAAAGGAAAACGTCAAATGTCAATTAACTCCAACTTTCAATATAACCATGATAAAACTCATAATCACCATGATGGTCGTTATTTGTGAAATGACCAAAACAATTTCCAACATTGAAAAAGTCCACATGACCTCTTGATAGGAATTCAAATTCTCCACACGAGTCAAGTCCTCAAATAGATTCACTCGCAATCCAATTCCATTACACACCAATCGAAAGATTAATCCAAAATATTGAACAAAAATGAACGCCGAAAGCAAGAAGAAGAGAATTTTGTGATTTCTCTTACAGGTCTCTCTTGCCTTAAACATGATATAACCAATGACAACCATGAGAATGGAAAACACAACAATAAAAAAAGCAAGAATTGACAATGGAGGAAATATTTTCGGAAGGAGTGGGAAAGAGTTGGGAAAGAGAGACATGTGTCGTGTTATTGTTGGACGAAATGACATCTGAAGTCAATAACATGTTGTTGGAAGTGACTAATGCATCATGTTGTTGTTGCAGTGGAGATTGTAAGAATTCAAGTGGAATAGAAAGTGTCGTGAGGAAATGTCATACATGATGAGAGTACTGGTCTTTTTTATCGAGATTTGTTTCGAAAGGAATGTGGTGGAAATCAAATCCTAACGATCTCACGACTTTCAAAGAGATGGATGAACTCACATGTGACGATGGGACGCACACACTGTGGCTATCTCTGAAGACTATTCTATCACAGAGAGATGACAATTGATGCAACAAAAGTTGTTTTTAAGCATCAAGTTTGTTCATGTTTCTAAAACAGAGAGAAATTTAGAGCTGTTCTTTCACTCAAAGGCGAGGATCACAAAACCATTTTTTTTTTTTTATCACTGTCCATGCGTTTATTTGTTCGAAAATTCAAACGTTATTCATGGCTGTGTGTGCAATTAGTACAGTTAAAGGTGGTTCATGTCATCAAAGTTAGTGTAATTATTGTTGTAAATTTCAATTATTGTTTGTCATCAAGGTTAGTGTAAATTTCAAATATTGTTGTAAATTTCAATTATTATTCATGGTCGTGGGTATTTCATGTATAGTTTAAACTTGTTCAAATCAATGAAATTAGGATTAAAATCGTATTGTTGTTCAAATTCATTCCAGGTGAGTTTCAATTCTTCCATGAAAAAATGATTTCGTTTCATCCACATTTTAGTAATAGATCGATAAGCTTCCTTAGTAAATACTTTGTCCCATTTCTTACCCAATCCAACTTTAGCACCTGTTAGGCTATGGATATCTTGTTTAGTCTTGATGAGGTACAATAGTCGTTTGGAGAATTTCTTGTTATTCTTTGCATATATTGAGATATTATATAAATTCCTAAACATTTCTTTTCTTATATCACTATAGTATTTACATTCAAAAATAATGTGTTGCATTGTCTCTCTACTACAGCAAGGACATAGCAAGTTCGTCTTGGATATCTTGTTTAAATTTTCCAAAGTCTTCATCACGTTCATTCTAATTTTAAATATTAGATTTAAGGTTTTGAAACCGATTCCTATTGAGGGGTAAATGTTGGTGAACTTTCTGTTCTTGGGAGGAAGGTTCTTTGGCGTATATGTTCTTTTGTGGAGGCGTTGAAATAGAAGTTTGTACATTGTTTGTCTAGTGTTTTGAGTGTATAATACATTGTTGATAATAATATACCAATTATTGGATGGAATATTAGTAAGAATATTGTTACAATCAGCACCTTTCTTAGCAGCCCTATCTGCTAATTCATTTATGCGGCTATAGATATCTTGTTTACCTGTATGACTATTAACATGCATAATTTTGATCTGATCCTTCATTTTTAAATAATTACGAATTTCTTCAACATAAGGATCTCTAGATTTTCTGAATTGGAAAAGTTGGTCATAAATACTTTTCGCATCTATGACTATTGTTCTAGGAGTGTTGTTATCTAGCAATCTAACAACTGTGTGGAGCGCTTGAACTTCACTGTTGTAGGAAGTTCCTTGTCCTAAGGTGTGACTTGAGATGGAAACATTCTGATCAGTTACAATACCGTATCCAGCAATATTATTGTTACACGATCCGTCAGTACCAATTAGTGTAGCTTTGTTCAAGAGGTTTGACATGGATGTGTTGTTACCAACATATTTGTAGTATTTGCTTTCGTCTTTGATTTTTCCAAAATCCATGCTATTGAGAATGTTGCGAATTTGGGTGACATGATTGGAATGTTTGATGTCATTATGTAATTTCACTTGTAAATTTTTAGGGTCAGGAACCCACATACTTAATCTGTTCCAATCTTTATAGAGCAGGAATTGTCTTAAACCTTTAGGGAATTTTCCATAAGGGATGAGAGTTTTTTCATGCCATTGGTCACTCGAATGCCACAATCTAATATTGGAAGATTTGTTCATGAAAATTATTCTCTTGAGATATTGAGGAATCCATGGGTCTGGTTTATACCAAGTAGGGATTGGATCATTGAGGATGTCAAAACCATGCTCCTGTTTGATTCGTTCACAAAGGAATCTTGTAGAAGATCCAAGACAAATATCATATTGTTCAAGGAACTTTCTGACTTTACACATTAGGTCCGAGTAACTCATTTCTTGAACAGAAATTAATCCAAGTCCACCTTTGTCTTGATGAGTATAAAACCACTCGAGAGCTAATTTTCTCTTGGTTCTTAATCTTTCACATATAAAGTTGCGAAAGAATTTATCAATTTGTTTCTCTAGATGGTCATTAGCAAGAGGAATTAGGTGGTACAGTGCATACGGAACAATGTCTGTGTTGATAATTTTGACAATGTTCTGTATTGGAAAATTCCAGCCAATAGAGTTAGTTCTTCTTTTAACTTCTTCAATAATTGAAGTAGTGTATTTCTTTTGTTCCTCAGTATTATTGGTAATATTATTACCAAGTATAATAATAGAATCATTACTTTTGATCGTACTTCCAGATAATGTCTTGATACTACATTCCTTATCAGAGAAGAGGTTAGTTTTGGAATGGTCTAATTCCATGTGATAGCCATGAAGATAGGTTTCAATGTCATGCAAAGAATTTTCAATTTCAGGTAGTTCGTTGGAAAATGAGTTCAAATCATCAATCCATGCGCCTGTACTAATGTTCCAATAATTTGCAACACTAGCACCATTATATGTTATTTCTAAAAATTGTAAGAGAGGCTCAAGCGCAATTTTGAATGCAAGGGGAGAGAAGGTGTCGCCTTGTTTCAATCCATCTTTCACATTGAAACATTCAGATTTACCATTAGGTATAACAAACTTTGTCGTAGATTCACCTAATATTTCCAGAATTCCATCAGCAGTAATTTCATCAATCCCTAAGAATAGCAGTCCATCACGAAGCATAATTCTCGGTAATGAGTCATAAGCTTTTTTGATGTCAACAGCCAAACCATAAAAAGGTTTCTTGTCCTTTTTTT